ATGAGTTTTCATCCGTTCAGGATGCTTTATATATCATTAGAGAGGTATTTGAAAGGACTACAAACTGGTCTTCAACTGAAATCTAGTTGACTACAAAACTACCAAGTTTCACTACAAGATACTCTGGCAGTTAATTTCAACTTGACCAAATAACTTCATATTGCACAAGCTTGTAGAGCTTCAAAAGTTAAACAAGTCTTCAGTTTGAACTAATACAAAGTTTCTTCTGGTTGGCTCACAAAACGTGAAATACTCATGAAACATCGACTCTTTTGAGAATTGGTTACTTTAGGGCCGGCTTGGCTCAAAAGAGCATTAGCGCTATATCTCAGTGGTTTCTCATCCGTTTTAAACGGTTCAGATATCATTAGAGAGGTATTTTGGGGCTCTACAACTTGGCTTTCAACTGAAAACTAGTTGACTACAAAACCATCAAGTTTTACTACAAAACACTCTGGCAGTTAATATACATTACAAAAGTGAAAGTTAACCAAATGACTTCATTTTGGCTTAGGTTATAGAGCTTCATTCTTTGAGTAATTTCACAGTTTGGATCCTCAAAAAATTGTCACTGCTGGCTTACAAAACCACTTTAGGGCTGGCTTAGCTCAACCAGTATTAGCAGCACATCTTGGTGAGTTCATTAGGAAGGTACTCCAAATGCCTACAAACTGGTCTTCAACTGAAATATCGTTGATCACAAATCTACAGAGTTTTACTACAAACTACGCTGGCAGTTAATATTTGTGACAAAGTTGAAACTTCACCAAATGACTTGCATAAGTAGTCAACTACAAATTGTTGTGTATCCTCACACACCAAACCCGCTTGCCATCACTTGCACGTCGTTTGGGGATGGAAGAGCTGGTGATGGCGACGCTGCAGACGTGAAGGTGAAGGATGGCAGCGAAGACCGTGAAGGTGACGACCAATGCTGGCAGGTCGACAACGGCTTGCACATTTGGGGCTGAGCGAATGGCGATGGCGAGCGCACTGGCGGACTTGGCCCCGTCCGAGAAACAAGTCGAGCTGCGACAGGCAACCACACGAGGGACGGCGCGAGCATGGTTGTGCTGGAGAGCGTCACGTTGGAGGTATGTTGTTTCTTTCTCTCTGGTTTCGGGCGCTCACAAGGCACAGACGCCCCCCGGCGAGCTCCACCTGCGCGGCACGCTCCTCGTGCGGAACGCCGCGTTCGAGAAGCACGTGTTCGTGCGCTTCACGCTCGACGGGTGGCTCACCACGAGCGAGGTCGGGCGCGCGGTACCTCGAATCCACCACGGCCAGCGATCCCAGGCCAGGGTGGGACCGCTTCGGCTTCTCGATCCGGTTAACCGACTACGCGCACGTGCAGAAGGGCCGTGGCTTGGTGGGCCGCGAGCTCGAGATGGTGGCGCGCTTCTGCGTGCCGTGGGTTGCGGAGGGCGGGGCGGCGCCGTATGTGTGGTGTGGTGAGCGTTCTTTCTGGCTGTTGATATCTGGAGGGGGCTGACGCGCGAGTAGATTCAGAAGAGCCCACGGAGAAGGAGAGGGAAAGAAGGTGGCTGGGCACGGGCGCGCCTGGCCCGGCGGAATGGTGGGATAACAACGGGGGGAGGAATTATCGCGTTGGGTTCCGCGCGGAGAGCACCCCAGCGCCGGCCCCTGCGACCACCACGTCTCCCGCGCCCGGTCCGCCGCCTACATCGGCGCCGCCTTCTGTCCCGACGTCGACGATCCCGTTCCCACGCTCCTCGCCGCAGTCCGCATCGCCCCTCCAGCCCCACCTCACGCTCCCCGTGGCCATACCGCCGCCGCCCCCGCCGAGGACGGCGCACGCGCAGGCGCTCGCGGCGAAGCTCGGCCGGCTGAGTCTGCGGAACTACGCCGCGCCGACACCTGCGCCGAGGCCGAGTTCCTGGGCGGGGTTCGTGCAGTCGAGCCCGCCACGCGAGCAGTCGAGCCCGCCGCGGCTGTCGCCGCTGGTCATCACCGAGCCCTTGCCGGCTGCGAATGCTCAGGCGGGGGTCGGGCTGTACTGGCCGTGGGGCCGGACCGCGACGACGCCGGAGGTGGTTGTCACCGAGGTGCCCGAGGAGGAGGATTCTGACTCGGACCGCGAGGGAGATGGCAACTTCGCTGCTGGCGGAGCGGGCGGGAGGAGGAGACGCCGCCCGATGTCGCCGCTCGGCGCGCGCGGGCTCGCGGGGCTGCTCGAGGCGGGCGACGGCGCGGGCGACGGCGCAGGGGAGAGCGGGGAGGAGAAGGAGGTCCGCGGCCCGCCGACGGGCGCGGAGACGAGCAGCAGCGTGTACCGCGCGTTCGTGCAGCAGTGGTGCTTCGCGGGCGCGGCGTAGTCCGGCCACGTGATGATGATGAAGATGACGACGACGGAAAAAAAGGCCCCCGGCCACTGACTGACCCGCATACCTTCCTTCCTTCCCTATGCGATTTTTGGCTGCATACATCGACCCCTGGTGTGTTATTGTTATATCCCCCACCCATTGTGTACCACCCCCCACTTTTCGCGCTTCGTTCCGTTCTTGTACGATACAGATGCATACACGAGAAAGACTGCCACGGACACGTAGATAGAGTGCGTATAGGTAGCTGGCGAATATAGAGTTGATTTGCGATTTTGGGGGCGTTTCAAGTTGAGTATGGTGCCAGGTGGGGCCGGACTGGGTTGGCGTAGAGCGCGAGATGGATGCTGCATTGCTGGTGGGTTAGCGAGTGATAGCTCGGTGCAACTGCCAGTGGCTGTCTGGTTTGAACTTGGAGGGGGACCTAGTACGCGTGACGCTGGCCGTTCGCCGCAGACGTGGGCGCGCGCAGCATATGTATGCAGTAATCCACTGAATTTTTCATTCAATTACTGCGGTGCTGGCCATATATAGATCATTGCAGATATTATACCATACTTGCCAGCGCTGTAGGCGGGTGGTGTTACCGCTCGCATGGTCGTCGGTGGCCCGGGCCCACCGTCCGTTCGGAGCGGGCGCTGCGATTGGTCTAATCGCGACCGGATATGTATTTTTATTTCGTCCTCAGGCTCTGGCTTGTTTACTTGCTTGAATACACGGCAAGTACCTGGTGATTGGCCAGCATATGCATAGCTTAGCCTAACTTGTTGTAACTGACGGTCGCTGTGCGTTCGGCTAGTCGTGAATATAGAGTTGTTTGCCGTTTTGCGACTTGGCGTAGCGAAAGCTGCGGGGCACTGAATGAGAACTTGGGGTGCTTGGCGTGGCTTGCGGCGGCGGGAGTACTGCTTCACTGAGCTGGGAGCATGGTCGTGGGTGGCAGTGCCACCCAACACTGGGTGCCGGTGTCCACTGGGCCCTGGCATCGTCCGTTCAAAGCGGGCGCGATTCATATCGGATATACAGCGCTACAGTTTTTGTTATTTTTGTCTCCCGACTTGTTTACCTGGCGCGGCGTGTTGCTTGCGGACACAATTGGCGCTGTCGACGAATAACGAGCGTTGGTGAGCAGGATTACTTCTGGTAACTTACCTCAAGGCCAATATCAGCTGACAATTTTGTAGTGACAATTCATCAGTAAAACTACATGTTGGTCTTGGAGATCTTTGGTCTTTGCAACAGATCTTTGATCTTTGAAAGTTGTCTTTGGTAGTCTTGGTCTTGGGAGGACTGGTCTTTGGTCTTGGAATGAGGTCTTGGAAATACTTTTCATCTTTATAACTATTCTGCCAAAAATACATTAAAAATTAATATATAATTTCATGTGAGTGGTGGTCAGCGTATTTGTTTACATAATATGAGTGGAAGCTATCAAGGGAAGCAGTGAAGTGAAAATAGGTAGGTAAGAATGCATCTCCAAACACAGGGATAAGATGTGCTGAGTGCAAAATGGTATCGACATGAATTATATCCAAGATACGCTCACCATCGTCGTTGAGATCCGGCTCAACCATCCACATGCCCACGTCAGGACAGGGGGCATCACCAATGGCGGAGAACCATGTGACCAAGGCACATGGATAGGCGACCCTTTCATGTTTGAAGGATATGAAAAGTAAGGCACAAGCAACAAGGAGCCCACGGAAGCCAGGCTCGTCCTCAGACCCGGCAACATATACGCAATCATACTGTGGTGCCCCTCCGCGCCAAGATCGGACTGCCCAAATTCGTTCATGTAGTAGACCCGTCCCGTTGGAATGATCACTGGGCGCATAGAAAGTAGCAATGGCTGACGGAAAGACCATGACTGAGGTGGGGAGGGGAGGGAATTCCGAGGCATCAACAGTGGTAATATCGACCTCGGGATTGAGCTGGGTGTAGAGAAAACGGCGAATAAGTAGTGGCAGCTTGTCACGGATAAGACCCGGCCCGTCCGCTCCGGCGCTGGTGTCGGGCCATTGCGGGCCCGTAACACGCAGCACGTGACGACGGGGAACATGCGCCCCAGTAGGAGGAACGCACACGTGGGAAGCACGTGACCGAGAACGACGCGTCGAGCCGTCGCCGAGCCCAACTTCGACACCAGGGGACTGGGGAGGAGTGCTAGGAGGTCAGGAGTAGCGCCTGGCCCGCAAGGGATGTGCGATCGTCCCCTCTGCGGCCAGGAACGGGAGCGAGGAGGAGGAGGAGAGGCCAGGGTGTCCGATCACCCCCCTTTGCAGGCCCGCGTATATAATGCGCGATAGTGTACCTTGTACTCTATCGCTTAGATCGTCTGAAGAACTACCTTACTCCGTGCGAGGAGACGCTATCGACTCATCGGGCCCGACACGACCCGATTCGAACCATCGACCACCGACTACGACAAGGGACCGAGTTCACAGGCCCTTTCGGTTTCGATCTACACCGCCCGCCGTACTTGCGGGCCCAACTATCCATCTGTTCTGTTCCGGGCGCGTTCTTAGGAGAAGTCCTTGCACGGCCCGACCCGTAGTCTGACACAGCTCAGGTCGATCGAGGAATGCGGCTAAAGCAATAGGGTCCCGGGGATATCCACGAGCTATAGAACGGTAAGCTTAGACATTGATTAGAGGTCATTCACATACTAGGAAGCTTTGCTAGATGAACCTCGCCCTCAATCTCAGGACTGTCAGGATTATCGTCATCGTCGGTATCATGAGCTTGAAGTCGAGCTTGAACCGCAGGCGGAAGCGGAAGTACAGGGTCAGGTGCTTGGGGATTGAGAATGCCACGTTCCTCAAAGTCAACACGTGTGGAAGCGAGATTGTCGAGTCGGTCATTGATAGTGAGCATCTGGCTCAGTGCCTCGTACTTGCTTGATCGACGCCAGGGCTCTTTAACGGCCTTGATATGTTTCGATTCGGTTATTGAAGAACAGAGACCATTCGGCGCAGCAAACTCCGTGATGAGTAGTGCATAATGTGTGAGCGCATGTTGACGAGGGAGATTGAAACCATCAGGGCATACACCACTTGTTTCAAATATAATACGCTCCTTATGATATCTGGTAAGTGCATTTTCGATTTCTTGCAGTGTCGACTCGCTGATCACATTTCGCCGCACAAGGTAACAAAAGTCGAGAAATGCGCTGAATGCACGGAGCATTTGAGGAGGAACATGGCCTTCAATTGCAGAAAGGTAAACCTGAAGTCATAAGTTCGGCGATACCTGGCTCAGCCTTGAGCTCACCTTCATCAATGCCTTCGAATCATCACCCGTCCATTGCTTGAAACCCCGTCCTTCAGGAAAGCGACGGATGCCAGGAAATGGTGGTACGGCAGCAATCCTATGTCGAATCAAACTACATCCTATACTACATCTAAAGCTCGTACCTCCGGTCAATATCTGCCATGATCTTGGCCGCTTCGGTTTTACCATGTATGAGCTCTAAATACTCCCCTGACACAGGTTACAAGGTGGTCTTTGAATGCTCCCTTGATTACCTGACGTAGTAAGTCGGGGGAAAGCAGCTCGTAAATGTCTGCTCGGGGAAAGTCCCAGGTATAAGGCTAGAAGAAATCAGCATTAGCCTCTGTTCGCAAGGTGCATGCACTAGAACATCGGGAATGACACCATATTGGTCCCAAAGAGCCTTATGGTCGAAGGCATCAAAGAGATCCTCCGTATGCTGTTGTGTGCGTCGTCCGCCCTCACCATCGAGGTCTTTATTGGACGCATGACATCTGGGACTGATTAGATTGAATGTCATTCCATTTACAGAACTCACCGCGCGCACCAGCCCTGAACGACACAAGCTAGTAGCACTTGCTCGGGGTAATCAGCAATGTATGGACCGAGTCCATAAATGACACGACGATAGTGGCCGTCCCCGAATAAGACAACCTCTGGTGTTGTCATTGCGCCCTTGAGTGAGGAGAAGATATGACGAAGGGACGCGTGAAAAAGTTGTCGTCGGAAAGTACGGAAATCAGCCCCGTTTTGGTGTTCTCGGTCAGCTAGGGATGCATCAAGCTACGTTTGCACCCAGTTGTCACGACTCGCCTTTGGGGATTGCCAGAAAGCCTATGAGACTGACTGCATTGCGATGGGCACGTCGAATGGTGTTATAAACAAGCCCATTGGACACATAAAGCGGGTAGAAGTCATTTTGGCCTGTGGCGACAGATGTGGTCGTTTTGTCGCTTCCGCCAATGACAGGAACGAAAACGGCACCATGGGTCTGTGGATCGGTAGCAATCTTGTCCTTTAGAACTGTTGTCAGAGCCAGCATTGTAAAGGGAAAAAAAGACGCACTGCTTGGCGCCAGGCCCACTGGCCCGACATGAAGTCTTGATAGATGCGTTCGCCGTTTGCATCATAGACACGTTTGGGACTGAGGTCCAGCTCGTTCTTGAAGTCTGGGTTGCCGAGTTGCTGCTGAAGAACCGCGCGAGGATCGCGGAAGTACACAGTGTACTCCTTTTTCTTCCAGGTCAGCGCATTTGGGGAGTTGCAATCATCTTCTCCTTCATACGAGACATTGAATGCCTGCCATTGAATATGGCCCCGCTCTGTCGCATCGATAGTCGCATACAGTTCGTCCGCGTCGGCGAATGGCGCGTCACCGTCCTCCGACGCAAGAATGTCCATTAGTTCGTTGATTTCGCCAGCGGACATCTGGACTTTGCGGTACATGAAGTCCGCCATTCGGAACTGTTTAAGCTTGTTGTACGGAGAGAAGTCGTCTGGGGGAGGGAATTGTTTTGGTGGAGGAGGGCTGCCTGTTTCCATCGTGATCGCAAGACCTCCATAGCTCTCCCACCTTCGTGACGCCCCATGTGATAGGTCGCAGGTTCGATCCCCGCCCAAAAATCATATTAAATCCCTTTTCGGCGGGGAAGGACCACGAGGGGGCTCGGCTGCAAGCCTTGTCAGCGGTTGTTTAGTTTAGTTTCTGAAGATGCTGTCCTTTGTGGTCCGGCGACGGTTCGAATCCGCCGCGCTTTGTTTTAATTTCTTCACGATGGCGGCTGAATCACGTGTTACACCTCTTTATTTTGTTTTATTTATTAAAGTATGTGTATAACTTGAAAAAAAAATGGTGGCTCCGCGCAGCGGGCCTCGCGGCGAGCGCCTGCCCTGCGGCGAGCACCGGGTCCGGGGTGGAAAACCCCCCCGCCGCCGCGGCCGGCGCCACAACCCGCAATACCAGTGAGGGACTCAACAAAGGCTAGTTAAGTGGATGTGTTGATTTATGTGCATTTATATATTATTTCTTGGCTTACAACTCATTGAGCTTAAAACAAATACCTCGGTTGAGGATTGAACCGCCGACTCATCACGTGCACCGTCACGAAGGTGGGAGACCAACCGATTTCGGCTGCCCTGGAGAGCTATCGTCAGCTAAGACCAAAAGATCAAGCACTTGTGAACGCACCAGTGAGATGTGGGTGGAAATCCACTCGTGAGTTCGGAGCAGCGGTTGCTGGATCTGCATCCGCCCTCCCAGCTCCATCGTCCATCGTATCAAGATCGGGGTACTGCCAGCCAGCTTGAGGGACCTCGTTCGCGTTTGCCTGTGATGGTGGGCGAGGATGAAAGGAGTGCCATGTATTAATATGTTGTGTGCGACCAGATGCATTGCTGAAGGTTCTCCGGCATCCGAATGGGCACGGCAGCCGGGGTCGATTAGGAGCCATGGAGGGGAGTGGTCGAAAAGTCTCTAAGTTATTCCGGGGATAGACGGCCCTCCCAGGCTCCAAAGACCTTGCCCAGAGTTAAGATGTACGTTGGGCGGCAAATCCGGTGAGCGCGTGTTCTTGCCCCGTTGTCAACATGCACTTGCCGCGGCCGTGATCAATGATCATGGCGGTGTTTCGTCGCCTTCTCTTCTGCCTCTCTCCACCGTCGACCGCCCAATGGCTACCCCCGTCCAAGCTCGACGACAAAACCCTCGAGCTCCAGACGCGCCGCCTTTGCACACACGAAGCGGAAACAAGCACCATGCAATACACGGTCCGCCCACCGTCCGTCGGACCCGCGAGCAAGTAGAGGCGGATGAGGCTGCAGCTAGGGTGGCGCACGACGAGGCAGAACGACGTAAGCAAGCTGCGCTTGCGCGTGTCGCAGCAACGGAAGATGAGAACCAGGAGGAGGACAAGGTGTGCTCCTTTTATGTCATGCGAGCTTGCTAACGGTCGTTTCAGCGGCGCCGGGAATTGGCGAAAGCTGGGGCTCGCGAGAGGACGGTGCCGGTCCAGCAACCCGCTTCGTCCCACAAGAGCGTTGCTAGCGATGAGGGTAAGCTGCTTCAGTCGTCTAGTTTGTGCCGATTGCTTTGCTGAGCCCACACTAGACGTCGACATGCGCTCGCTTGATGACGGTAGCGGTAGCGGGTCGGAGGACTTGTACGAACCGCCCATTGAAGAAGAGCAAGAGCTGGACTCTGAAGAGGAAGATGAGCCGACCAAAGCGCCGAAGAAACCAAGCAAGGGCACCTGCACCGACGTTCAAGCATTGCGTCAAACCCAGGATACGCACCGGGACTCCAGACGTCGGAGGAGGAGGGAAACGAAAGGCGGGGAAGGATGATGGGTAAGTTCCTTCAATGTTTAGGCTGCGCTGACTGTTGCTCCAGCCTTAAAACGAGCAAGCGGCCAAAGGTCGTCCTGAAGAAGGCTGGTTTGGCGCCACCAGTCCCTGCGAAGCGGCAGCCTGCAACGTCACCGACACAACTTGAAGACGGGGACTCAATGTTCCAGCCCGGAGGGCCCGCGCTTGAAGACGGACACGAAGGCATCGAGCATCCCGCTCGTAAAGGACCGAGCAAAGGCCTCCCGAAGATTGATGTGCATCCATCACTGTCAAGCATCGTTTTCCTTCTTGCTCTCACCTGCTTCCCAGTCCGTCAAAATCTCTCAAAAGCAACTTCGCGGTGGAGGCGGCAAATGGACAATTGCTCACCTACCTCCCAACGCGGAGCCCTTGTTCACCCGCGTTTTCATCCCGCTAACTAAGGAGCAGATTAGCATTTCGGAATCAGACCCGTGGCTCAATCTGGGAGTCGCTGACATGCAAACTGTCATTGACCGTGTCTACCCGAACGAGGGTTTTATCGTCAAGCCCAAAGAAGCCTGGTTTCATCTGGTAAGCTCTCGTTCACATTTGGCCTAAGCTCACGCACCCTCAGGTTCACTATCGGGCTGTCGACTACCGGCGAGGATTCCTCGACCAGGCAAAGAAGGCATTCGAGTTGCAGCTCGAGAGCGGACGGGAGGCCATCGCAGAATATGAGGCTAAAGCTGGTGAGTCAGCGTCCAATGCGTACTTGTATTTTTGCTGACAAACTGGAGCGGCGAAAGCAAAACAAGACATCAACGGAGAGGATGAAGGGGACGAGGATGCCGACGAAGGCCACGGTTTGATTCCAGTCGATACCCCTGCCGGCGTTGCAGACCTCGTCGAGTACTTCCTTACTTCAAGTGGCGACGGCCATTCGAAGGCTTTCCATTGGAATAAGTGGGATGAGTCTCAGGAGAGCTGCACGGTGTCGTAGAATTGTCCTTTTATTTGTTTGCTAACTCGCTTCTTGACAGGGCCTCTTTGAGTCTTTCCTTATCAAATATACGTTCACATTTCATCTTATGTTTCTCGACACAATTCCACATGAATATCGCCAATCTTCGAAACCTCCGTATGGTGCCCTCCTCCTCTCGATTCAAGCGGTACGTGTCTCAAGCAGACTGTTACATCACTAATCTTGCATTGCACCAGGTGGAATGTGTCCTTCAGCGTTGGACAACTGGTATTTATGTTGCACCGCCAAAAGGGCACAAATATGAGTTTTCGACCGACAATTGGGGCGACGCTGTCGAGACGATTGGTAAGCAACGACGCAAGATCCGGCGGGCCACGAAATACCTCAAGACACTGCAAGCGTGGACGGAGGACGAGTGGGAGGGCTATATTGAGTCCGCTGCTGCCTTCAAGGTGACCAAAAACCGATGTAGTCATAGTCGGTCATCAAGCCGCGTATCGTCGAACGCTCCTGAAGAACTAGAGGATGAGGAAGAGGAACAATTTGTTATTTCACGTCGTTAGTTTATATTGTTTTCTATGGTATTATCAATAGTGCTTTATGGTTTTATGATTGGTCTTTGAGTGTCTGGAGTAAGGTCTTTGGCCAGCAATCATCATCTTTCCAAAGACTGACACTGTCTTGGTAAGACCAAAATGGTCTTGGGAAAGCTTCCCAAGACGAAGGGACCTGCCTAGCCCAAGACCGCGGTCTTTGGCGTCTTTGGCGTCTTTGACATCTTTGGCGTCTTGCCAAAGACTCCAAAGACGCCAAAGACGAAGGTGTAGTTTTACTGATGTTTGTTGTAAATAAATGCACTAAATATGCCACAAGATACAAACAAGATGATAATAAGACCATACAATATATGTATATATATATATATACATCAGAAATAAGTGTGATGACAAAGTGGGGTAATAATAATGTGACACTATTTTTTTTTGACAAATATTTGGGCTTGAATGACATGTAGGCATTTTTGATAAAACATGGACAGGAAGGGGGTAGTTCTAATGAATACTATATTTAATACCTTAATACAGAACTTGGTTTCTCTGAAGGGGAGTAACGGAGTCCAAAGGAAACCAAGTGGCTATCACAACACTATATCAAAGTGAGTGACTACACATCTTACAGGCCGAATACAAGTCTGAATAACTATGTGAACTCTTGCAGATATGTTTGGAGGAGCCAAAGGTGATAAAGGCTCAAACACAGGGGGAGTTGGATAAGAGCAGAGCAAGGCAATGAACATTAATAATGAAACTGAAATACAGGAGTTTATTTAGAGTATAAGTATTTATACTAGGTGTCTCTGCTCTTATCCAACTCCTCCCCGTGTTCTAAGCCTTATTGCCTTTGGCTCCTCTGAATGTATCCACAGGAGTTCATGTATTTGTTCAGACTTGTATTCGGCCTGTGAAACATGTAGTTGCTCACTCCAATATAGTGTTGTGATAGCCACTCGGTTTCCTTCAGACTTTCCATTACTTCTCTTCAGTCTTTGCACGGCACTTAACAAGTAATAGTATTTTAATGAATTTAACTGGAAATAGGAATTTTTCACCACTTTTAATCGCATCAGTAGGTCACAGGATAAGCGACCATGGGAATATATTACCCGATATGGTAAGGGGAGGGGGGTTTTCCAGAAGGCCCTTGAAAAACTTTTTGACAGTATATCTGTTTTTTGAATAATGACACCCCCCTTGATCAGTATGACACTTTTGCTTGACAACAAGTCGATGATGACCACCAGCGCATCCAACCATCTTTATCTGGAGTCCCCCACTCCTTTTGACCATTAATTTTCTGCAAGGCAACAAGGCTGAGTTCTCTACCCCTGTTCCGAAATGTCTTGATGAACACTTTTGATCAATATGCTCCACATTTCTGGCAAGGGGGTCCTAGGCATGGTGAAAAAAAACTTTTGCTATACCAAAGTTTGGGGGAGTTTTAGTGGGTTTGAGGTTGTGTTTGGAGTATATGTGTAGCATTCTAGCATAGAATGCAAGATGGATACTGATTAGCCCCACTATTTGCCTATGGCAAGGCTCTCAGCAGTTTAGTTGGGCTGTAGACTGTAGTGTGACTGGAGTGTGACTAGCCTCACAATTTATCATTGTCATTTAATTATACATAATCACAGGAAGCCTACCAGTGACACTGTAGAGACTCAATTGCTATGTATTACTCAAAACTCAAAGTATTCTAATAAATGTGTCAGGAACGGGGCCGGCCCGGGCCCACGTGACGGTCTCCTGCCAGTCTGACAAGTGTGGGAAAGATGGTTCAACCCCCATAGCTGGGTGGTCGGCAACCAGGCAGCGTAGATGGTGCCACTGCTGCAATAGAGAGCAGGGTAGGGACAACTCGGGGCGACTCGAGACGCCCCGCTGTCACGTTGTGTGACAGCGGTGTCACAGGATACGAGTAGTCGTCTAGAGTTTCCTACCCCTGCTGAAGGGAACGAGTCCATAGCCAAAGAGTGCTGCCTAGTAGAGTTGGTGCCCAAGACATAGGGCAAGGCATAGGCTGGGCCAGTTGAACAAGCCGTTCGGGCGGGGCGTGACGTAACGCGGTCACGCCCGACGGTTCGGGGGTCGAGGGGGAGTCGCCCCGCAACAGGGGCTGCGGGCCCGAGACCCCTGGAGCGCTTGAGAAGGGTTGCCAGTCCAAGGGGCGACATATCTCCTTTCCTGGAGCAACGAGTCGCTGTGGCTCCTAGACACCGCGTGACGGCGCGGTGTGACGCGTGACATGCGGGCCCGATCGGGCCCGCACCCTCCCATCGCCCCGTACCAGGGGAACCCAGAGCTTGAGGCCAGAGAGCAGGAAGAAGTGGCTAGGACAAGGGTGAACATAAGAGACAAGAGCCTGAGCTGTCCAGCCCAACCAAGGGCTCAGGTCAATGAGGCAAGCTAGCCTGGAGTGTTGGAAGTTGTCTAGACGCCCCTTTCCTGGGGTATGGTCGCAGCAACCCCGCTCTAGGGGACCAGGCCGGAGTAGGGTTCAAAGGAAGAGACTTCAATGCTAAACCTAAGGTACAGGAGTAATACTCTAGTCTTTATATACTGTGGGCGCTAGGGGCCGATCGGGCCCGCTGAGGGTCGATCAGAAGGGAGCAGGGGATGTCTCTGGTCGTCCCTGGTCGCTCCGCTAGGAGCCCAGGGACCATTCCTCTGGAAAGGAGCCATGCCAAAGTCGACACTAAGGAGTGTTTGGCAATGCAACAGTAAGGAGCTCCCTCCTGGACCCTGTGGTTGTCTAGGGCCGATTGGGCCCGCTGTCAAGGGCGTCCGGCGGCGCATCATGATCCCTGATGGCGGGTCATGATGGCTTGATGGCTGACTAAAGCGCGATCCGTGATTATGTCCCTTCTCTGGGATATTAGTGTTGTTGCTCATTGCTTTGAGCTTGTGAATTATGAGGGCTTGCCAAGCCCTAGGGCTCTAAGGGTGGTGAGGGCCCGATGGGCCGTATAGGGCCCGTTGGCCCGACCCGAACCCTGACAAAATGTAACTGGAATTATATATTTTATCGCCACTGTTAATCACATCATCAAGTCACATGATGCGTGATCATGGGAATATATTACCCCATATAGAAAGGGGGGAGGGGGAGGGGTCCCAGATGGCCTGAAAAAAAATTTCGACGGTATATCCAATTTTCAAAAGTTGGGACCCCCTTGGTTTCTAGTACCCAATTGGAAACTCGCTGCTTCTTCCCTGGCTGGCAACGTCAGCACATTTCATCAATCCATTCTTTTCTTCAAAAATATGCTAGGAGGCCTTGTCCTCCAATCAATTAAAGAAATCTTATGGAGTCAAGCATGTGCCAGTCCAAATACATGTCTGAGTCAGTGAAAGCTTCAATCATTGGTCCACTGCAAGCCCAAGAATGACCCACCGATAACTATCTGCTGGAGACCACTGCACCGTCGCAACAGTTCTGCCTAGAGTTCATCTGCACTCGGAAGACAACCTAATGGGCCCAGGCTTCCCGTTTGCCCCCCGGAAGGACAGCTCCTGAGGAACAAATATGGACCCTGAGACTTCCGAGAGTGGACGGAAGGATGGTCGGTAGGCTGGTGAGGAAGCGGCAGGCCTGGAACGCTGTGTTAACATAACCCATGTGACAGGACGCAGAACAGTACCTCGCTTGGCTGGGCATCATTGGTGGGCTCCCTCCACTGCTCCGCCGCCCAGAAATGGAGGGTGTGCAGGTTTGGGAAGAATGCAATGATCGCTGACCAAAGTGCACAATCGCCGTCACACAACTCAACTACAGCGTGAGTTATCATCTGCGGAACATACCGTCCGGTGCGCTGCAGGGCAAATAGAAGTCTGTCGCTGCGTTCATTCCCAATTTTCAGAGTGCGCAGAAACGGGCGTGCATGGAAGGAGTGCAGGCAACATTTGGCAGACCGTGGTCAGCTCGCGCACATGTGGAAACACACAAGCTGGTTCGCTCGCAGCCAGCTCTGTGTCGCAGTGCCTCTCGATCATTAGCACGCACAGCTGTTGGAGTCCAGGAAAGGTACGCGGCAGGTTTCCGATGCCAGAGTGAGTTAACGCTGATAGACTCTTGATCCACAACATGAGATATCACATCCGCGGGAACACGACATCTTCGCGCGACAACCTAGCGAGACTGAGCAGGCGCTCGTCGATTTCCCAAATGAACTTGACGAGCATGGAGAGATCGAGGACATAAAGCCATGACCAGACATCCCGTTCTGGTCCGACTCTCCATCCGCAAATCGAAAACGCAACTCAGCAACGGGAAGTCGGACATCTGGCAGTGCCCGGGCAGCTGCAGGAAATGTGCGCTGGGCCTCCGATGAGAAGGAGCAAGCGAAGAGATGCAGCGTAAGCGGGCTGCGGAGCCGTGCGAGATTGACCAGGGCTGTGGGCGTGAATTTGAGGTCTGAAGCAATGAGTTGGCGAAGGCAAGAAAACTTGTCAATGACGGAGAACAGCAAGTCGCGCAGAGTGTATGCGCCCGTAACAGCCACGCTGAACTTGTCCTCCCACTCGTCGATGTCGAAGTTGTGTTTACAGGGGTCGTAGCGTACTGGGCGGGAGATGTGCAGCACACGGACATGCGGGGCAATGGCGGGGGATGTGAAGAACATGAGCTTGGTAGTGAAATGCGCGACCTGGGCTGGCGGTGGGAGGATGAGCGGAGCCTCTTCTTTGCCGAACTCGCCGAGCAGCAGATACGGCTGAAGCCCCAGCGTGGAATACAGGAATTGAAGAGCAACAAGGCGCAGGTGGCGGGAGGCAAGAGCGACACTTTTGAGTTCGTCGAATGGGAGAGCTCGAGGGATCTCGTGGAGGAGTTCGTTAGGCAGCATGGCAGGGAGACGTGGGCGGCGAAAGTGACCCATGAAAAGGAGAAGGATGAGATGGATGGACGATTGATCAAGACTGTCTCGCCCTTTGTTTGGCCCCTCTTGACCGCCCCACAACATGTTTCGTCACCAGTTATTGCGACTCACTTGATGACTGTCAGGAAC